TTTTTTTCTAGAAAGTGTATCAGTGAGGACAAAGAAAGTTGAAAAGTCATTAATCTTGCAAGCGGCGGGCGTTACAAAAAAACATGAGTTAAATGCCTCCACGTATCAGATGTGTGACGTAATGTTGTTTAACAATGCTGATCAACTAAGTTACAAGGAGATTGAGCAAGCAACTGAAATTCCTGCTTTGGATTTGAAGAGGTGCTTGCAATGTTGTGAAGGGAAAAGATGTAATCAGGAAAGAGCTTATGAGTAAAGACATTGGGGAGGATGATGCATTCTCTGTCAATGACAAGTTCACCAGCAAGTTCTATAAAATGAAGATAGGGACAATGATTGCACAAAAGGAGTCTAAACCTGAGAAATTAGATACTCGACAGAGAATGGAAGAGGATAGGATACCCAAGACTGAAGCAGCAATATTGAGAATCATGAAGTCAAGGAGGCAGTTTGATCATAACAATATTATAACAGAGGTCATAAAACAGTTGCAACCACGATTCCTTGCTAACCCAGCAGAGATTAAGAAACGGATTGAGTCTCTCACTGAGAGGGATTTCTTGGTGAGGGACAACATTGACAAGAAATTGTATCGTTATCTTAGATGAAGCAATGGCCCATTTGTTTCATTTACTAGTTTAGTTTAGCCTTTGGCAGTTGAGGTGGACATTTTTTCTCTCCCCATCGACCAATTGATTTCTTCTAGCTTCATGGGTTTTCAATGCTTATGATTTCTTTTTCAAATGAACTTTAGTACTTCGTCTTGTATGCTTCACCAATTTCACGTGGTTCAAGAGACAAATAGTATTGAGATAGTAGTTGAAGCAAATGTAAAATATTCAAAGAACACTTTTTTTAACCTTTCTATCAAGCAACAGACAAGAGGGGGGAAATGCAAGAACATATAAAAGTTATCATCTTACATAATCCTGAGGAGGTACTTGTTTTGTTCTCAAAACACCAAAAACAAGAAGAAGAAAAATACTTTCATAAACTTTACAATAAATCATCGTTGAAACTTGAAAGCTTCACATATAGAGCTGTCAAAAAGGGCTCAAGCCCTAGGGCCAGCCCTATAAAATATTAGCCCTCTATGTAATGGGTCCATTTTAAGCCCATCCTTTTAAAGCCCTCTCATTATAGGGTTAGGTTGGGGCTGGCCCGCGGGCTATAATATTCAACCCAATTTACAACGAAAAAATTTCATCAAAAGTTTTGACGCAAAAAAGAATTCCTTCAAAAATTTTGACGGAATATTTTCCGTCCAAAATCTTCGATGAAAATGTGACCCAATGAAAATTACAACGGAAATATTTTTTTTCAAAATTTTTGAGGGAAATGTATCTGTGAAACTTTCGACGGAATTTAGATTTCGTAAAGATTTTTGACAAAATATTTTTTCGTTGAAATTTTTTACAGAAATATTTTCGTCAAAGTTTTTTACAGAAATAATTTTCGTGGAAAATTTTTAACAAAAATGTGTTCCGTTTAAAATTTTGATAGAAATATTTTTTATCGAAAATTTTGTCAAAAATATTTTTCGTCAAAATTTTTTTACGAAAATGTGTTTCGTCAAAAATTTTGACGGAAATTTTTTTCGTCAAAAATTTTGACGAAAACATTTTTCATCAAAAATTTCGACAAAAATTTTTTCGTCAAAAATTTCAACAAAAACTATTTTCATCAAAAATTTCGAAGGAAATTTTTTCGTCAAAAATTTCGACAGAATTTTTTCGTCAAAAACTTTTATGGAATTTAGATTCTGTAAAGAATTTTGACGAATTTTTTTTCGTCAATTTTTTTACAGAAACGTTTTCTGTCAAAACTTTTTACGAAAAAATTTCTATGCAATAATTTTTTTAAAAAGTGACAATTTTCTAAAAACTATTATTTTTATTTTTTCTAATAATTTCTATGCACCATTTTATTATAAATATTCTTTTTAAAAAATACATATTATTTTTTTAGAAGGCCCGCGGGCTGGCCCTAACCCATAGGGCTTTGGCCCGTGTGGATCTATATTATTGTGAACTTTTTGGCCCTGCGGGCTTTTTGGCCCTTAACCCACTTGGGCTAGGGCTAAATGGGCCGGGCTGGCCCGTTTTGACAGCTATATTCACATATCCTTCACAAGAACAACAGGTGGCTTCGTGACATAATTGCTAGCCCCGTAGTGACCGAGGGAAAGTTAATTGAAAAATTGGGATGTTTTAGTTAGATGTATACTGAATTGAATTTGACTAGGTTTTGGAAATTGTATTGAAGAGTGGGTAGTTGAATTTATTAAAATATCAATGCTCAGTAGATAAAATCATTAGTTTTTTTTTAAATTTTATTGATGAATGCATTTTTAAATTTTTTTTAAATAATATATTAAAATTAGACATAAAATATCAATTCTCTTTCAATTAAGATCAAGTGGGTTTTGGAATCTATTATACATCATTAGGAGGTGCGGAAAATTACATCTGGTAGTAGGGGTGTTAATGGGCCGAGCTGAACTTTGATCTTAATGGGCCAAGCCTGTATTTAAACGTGTCCGACTGGCCTTAGCCTGTTACCTGTTACGAATATAATATTGGCCTGTGGCCTGGTTTATTTACAAAAAATAAAAGCCTGTGTGAAGTCTGTCTTAGCCTGTTAGCATGTTAAAGAATAAAAATAAGAGAACAGAATTCCACAAAAAATCAATTTCCAGATAGAAACCTTTGCTTCCAATTTGCAGCAATAATTTACAAAGTCTACAATAAATAAATAAAATTAAAGTGAGAGAAGGTAGATAACGTGTTATATTATCTTAGCCCATTACAAAAAAAGTGCCAACAAAAATAAAAATAAAATAAATAAAATAAAAAATAAATTGACACAAACGAGCAGTGCACAGTGGAACGAATGAGTTTTTGTGGGTTTGTTTGTGTGAAGGAGGATGAAGGATAATATAGAACACCACTAGTAATTTCATAAATATACATAAATTCAATATATATCCAAATAGCATAATATAAAACAAAATCATTCAAAAAGTCTGTTAAACCAATAAAATGGGGTGAAATAAATTGATGAGAGAGAGTTATTACAAGTAGTATAAAAAGTATAAATAAATATTTATATATTAGACTAGCCTGGGAGGCTCTAAGGCCGAGTTTCTGAATTAGAGCCTGAGGCCTTTTTATTAAACGAGCTTTTATACAAGTCCAAGTCTGGTTCCAACACGAGCTTTTATTAAACGAGCTCGGGCCTTTACGAGTCGAGTCAAAGGCCCCTGGCTCGTTTACCACCCCTATCTGGTAGTACATATAGGGTTAATAATACATAACTTGATTTTATTTTATTTATTTATAGCAATATTTAGTTTTAATTCTTCAATTTTATATACATAATTTAATTAAAAAATTTATTATATTTGTTTTAACATATTAATTGAAATTTTCAAGATAAAAAATTATATATTTTCCTTATTTATAAAATAATTATTTAATTTAATCTTAATTGCATTTTAACAGTTCTTCCTTAAAGACGTTATATACCAATTACCAAGTAAAATCTCTATTTATTATATTATTTTATTGAGAAATATTAGTAATATAAATAAAACATTATTGAGAAAAATTGTTATTATAGAGAGAGAGAAGAAGAGAAAAGGATGGAGTGAAGTGAATTGCGAGATTTGAATTTGTATATTCTTATTGGATGTTGAGGGCTACTTATTAAAATATATATTTATTAGAGCTGGTATGATAAAGATTAAAGTGTATGAAATTTATAAATGTGTAAATGATTAATGTTTTTAGAACATTTTACTAATATATATTTTTATAATGAAGTATTTATGAATGCACCTTAGTTTAGTCCCCACTTTATTAGTATCATTGTTAAAAATCACGTGACATTAAAAAAAATAATAAGTTTACAAAAGATGATTGGATAAAAACATTTTAAAATGACATTCTTTTATTCTTGGCTTGTCATTTAATAAAAAATAAAATAAAATAAAATTCACAAATAAAAAGAAAACAGCGTCAATTTAAAATGACGATGAAGAAGTGGATTAACTAACAGGTAATTGAGTTGGATATGTAACTGTGTTAAAAATTTAATAGGATTTTTTTTTTATTATTCTTGTGATCCCACACAAAGCGATCATATTAGTTGATTAATTGATAAAAAATTAAAAAAGAATTGAATTGAATTCATAAATGACAAGAAGTAAAAAAAAAAAAAAAAACATCTAGTACAAAAATCATAATGAAAACAAACTTGACGGAGAAAATAAAATTTTAGTTCTATTCGGTAACATTTGTTACCGAAAATATGTGTAACATGTGTATAATGAAAACAAACTTGACGGAGAAAATAAAATTTTAGTTCTATTCGGTAACATTTATTACCGAAAATAAGTGTAACATGTGTAGTTTTATTAAGCACACAGTAACACGCCACTCACGTTTTCTTCCTTGGGATCCATCGTGGAATCCTGTTGTTCTTCGCAAGTAACAACGTAGTTACGTGGTGACGTCCCATAATTTATCAACCTTTTTGTCCCGTGGCATCGGTCCAAGTTGCACAATCCATCTTTTCCTTTTCTTTTGAAACTGTTTTACCCGTTTTGGTCATTTGCCCTACCTAATCTTATGATATATATACATATTAAACATATGTGTATCTATCTTTCTTTCTTATATTAATTTAATATCACACCTAGCTACCACCTTGGCTCCTTTCTCTTTTGATCTCAGAAAATTATACTATATACTCTCGAAAATTCATAAGGTAATATAATATACTTTCGAAAGTACGTAGTGTAATTTGTAAACAAATTTTTTATAAATATAACTCTCTCTATTTAAATTATATTAAATACAAACCATCTGCACAGGCAATACCAAGAAAAATTTTAATTTTATTAAATAATTTTTAATTTTACTAAAGATATTTTTTTTATACAAGTAGAAATTGAACAGATAATCCAATACAACTTATCCAAATCTCTTACCAAAAATATTTTAAACTTTAGACAGGCCAACTTAACCAAATCAAAATGTTAAATCCAACACCTTCAGGAGCTCCTTAACTTTGTCTGCCCGAGGGAAAGAATATTCCGTCTCAACTGCTACACCAAGAACATTCTTATATGCATTGACAAACATATGCGGTGCAGCTGCAAGTGTGGCGTATGAGATCGCCAACGAAAGTGAAGTAACCATTGAGACACCAATAGCAAACTTCTCAATGAGGTCATCCTCACTAAGATCAAGAACCTCAGGGCTAAACACTGAACCATTATCATAAACCGAAAACACCACAAGACCATATGAGTAGGGCCTTATGCCTAGCTTGGCAAGCAATGCAGCTTCAGAAGAGCCGACCTTGTCTCCCTTCTTGATGAGTTCCACAGGGCAAATGATTTCCACAGTACCCTTGTTAATCTTGGTTGGAATGTTGAGCACCTGAAGTGTAGAGAATAAGTATAAACATGAATGACATCCACAAGAAGAAAATCCAAATTGTACAAGAATAATATTACAAACCTGGAAGAAAGAGGTCTGAGAGGGATCGAGCCCAGTGTTGCCAGGAGGAACAACAACATCAATTGGAGCAATCAAACCAACGCGAGCAGGAGCTCCAACCTGTATTTAAATTATAAATTAAAATATAAAAAAATACGTATAGATAATATAAAAAAATTTAAATTTTAAATTTAAATAAAAAATGATGTCTGCCATACTGTAAAAAAAAATTATTAAAATTTAAGAACTATAAAAATGAAAATTTTAATTTAATACATAAGAAAAAAATTAAACCTTCATTTTTTTATTGCAAGAGAGTAATTAACACAAATACTTGCAAAAAGTAATTATTTATATAAAATCCTGACAGTTAGAGGTGGAACACTGGGCTCGGCCCGAAGGGCCAGCCCGCCAATATATTTTATAATTCAATTGAAATTTTATTTTTCTTCTTTTATAATTAAATTACTAAATCTGATTTCAATTTTAGTAAATACAAATTTGTGAAATTCCAATGACTAACGACACTAATCCTTACAAAAAACAATACTTATATAAAATCCTGACAATTAGAGGTGAAAAACTGAGCTCGGCCCGGAGGGCCGGCCCGCCAATATATTTTTATAACTCAATTAAAATTTTATCCTTATTCTTTTATAATTAAATTACTAAATCTTATTTCAATTTTTGTAAATATAAATTTATGAAATTCCAAACACTAACGAAACTAACTATTACAAAAAAAATAATTATTTATTATTATTTTATAAATCTGATTGTAGTAAATTAAAGTTCATCTCTGAGATAAAATATAAAAACCTAGACGCAACTATAAAAACGTTTTTGCGTAGATAAATATAAAAACCTTTTACATTCTGATAGTTATAGGTGGCAAACTGGATTCGACTCGGAAGGCTGGCCCACCAACACATTTTTATAATTAAATTAAAATTTCATCCTTCTTCTTTATTAATTAAATTTCTAAATCTGATTTTAATTTTTGTAAATACAAATTTAAAAAATTCCAAATACCAACGACACATATCCTTGCAAATAATAATTATTTATTATTATTTTTTAAATGTGATTGCAATAAATGAAAGTCTATCTCAAAGATTAGTGTAGTTGCTTTGATTCTGTTCATATGCATTTGTTGCAATGTAAGCAAAAAAATATGACTTATACATGCTTATTTGATTAAGTTGCATTCAAATCCCGTTCAGACAACATTTTTTTCGGTCCTTAAAAAAATTTAATCCATTCTTTTTTTTTGCTGATACTATAACTTTTAGGTGTTAACATATTAGTGTTACTTATTTAATGAGTTTTTGCCTTCTGTATCGTATGCACAAGGAACGAAAATCACATAGGAAATGACATATTTAGTAAGTGTTGAACTCATCCCTCCAATGATTGCTACAAAATGACACTGAATGAATAGCGTTTTCATATTATATATAAAAGCTGATCTTTTAAATTCAGATTTGCTTGATGTTATAATTAGCTATGATTTGTATGCATTTTTCTTTTTATATCCCTTTCTGATGTTAACATACATTATGTATTATAACGTATTACAGTGTATTATGATGTAGTTGTATGCAAAATTAATTATCCCTCTGAATAGCAGAGTTTTGTTTGTGGTTAATATTTGCAAAGTTATGTGTTAATGCTGTAATTTTTTCCACCAGAAATATAGAACAAAATAACAACACAATTTTTTGTAAGTATAAGGTTAGCAGTGCGATTAACCAAGCACGGCGGACGAAAAAAAATTTAATCTTTTTCCGCCGAGCATCGCACGGGTAATATACTAGTTATATTAAATACAAAGCACCTGAGCAGGCAATGCCAAGAAGAATTATAATTTTATTAAATATTTTTAAATTTTACTAAAGATATTTTTTTTATACAAGTGAAAATTGAACACATAACCCAATACAACTTACCCAAATCTCTTACCAAAAATAATTTAAACTTTAGATAGGGCCAACTTAACCAAATCAAAATGTTAAATCCAACACCTTCAGGAGCTCCTTAACCTTGTCTGCCCGAGGGAAAGAATATTCTGTCTCAACTGCTACACCAAGAACGTTCTTATATGCATTGACAAACATATGCGGTGCAGCTGCAAGTGTGGCGTATGAGATCGCCAACGAAAGTGAAGTAACCATTGAGACACCAATACCAAACTTCTCAACGAGGTCATCCTCACTAAGATCAAGAACCTCAGGGCTAAACACTGAACCATTATCATAAACCGAAAGCACCACAAGACCATATGAGAAGGGCCTTATGCCTAGCTTGGCAAGCAATGCAGCTTCAGAAGAGCCGACCTTGTCTCCCTTCTTGATGAGTTCCACAGGGCAAATGATTTCCACAGTACCCTTGTTAATCTTGGTTGGAATGTTGAGCACCTGAAGTGTAGAGAATAAGTATAAACATGAATGACATCCACAAGAAGAAAATACAAGTTGTACAAGAATAATATTACAAACCTGGAAGAAAGAGGTCTGAGAGGGATCGAGCCCAGTGTTGCCAGGAGGAACAACAACATCAATTGGAGCAACCAAACCAACGCGAGCAGGAGCTCCAACCTGTTCAGATTAAAGACAATAATTACTCGATGAACATTTAAATAACAAGAAAAGTGAGGACATGCCAGCTCAGTACTGAATTTTTCAAGCAATAAACAGAAAATTTTAAACAGAATGCAGAAGGAGGATATTTACAATCAATGATAATATCAAATTCAGCCCGCAAAAACAAAATACTCTTAACCAAAACATCTCATTTGGGGGTAAAAGCAAAATATTGCATAATAGTAAAGTATAATTAACTAATGTAGTGCCAAAAGCCCACCAGAAGTACTGAACAACATCCACAACCATGAAGACACGAAAATGACAAGGACTAACAATATTTCTGTAGCAAGTCATAACGTATAAACAAAACATACAGGAATCGAATCTATGGACAGCACCTTGCAATCATATAAAAGGTAAATCCGAGCTTAAAATAATAATAGCAATAATCAACTGTCCATGCTTAAGAGAATTAAGATAATACTGGCTACTTGCCAGTCATGGACAAAATTCAAGTACCACAACTAAAGGCAGCAGACAGAAGAGTTACATAGCAACATTAGCATTATATATGGTTTCCAGAAAAAAAACAGTACGAATATTAAAAAAAAATGTGGAAAGGTGATTTCACCTTGTACTTAGCAAGGTCTTCGCTAACCTCCTTCAAGTCACCTTTTGTGAAAATCAACCCCACATTGCCCTGGTTCAAAAAAAAAAAAAAACATTAGACACCACCTTGAAAAAAAATATATATTTATTTTATTTTTTAATTTTCTCTTGTTTATTATTGAGTTAATTAACCATCGACCATAATTAGCCTGTGTTGAAAGTGCTGTTGGTGCTGATAGTTTTTTGTTAAAACTATCTATAAAGCTGGAGAAAAAAAAAAAGAGAGGAGCTGATCTAAGTCAATTAATTAAGGCGTTAATTCATTTTTCTTTTAAAAAGGCAGCGAAGCATAACAAAAGACCGAAGCTTTACCTCGCATGACTGACTACCCATTATTCATTCAAGAGACATAAATCAATAAAATGGTGAAAGCTTTTAAATTGAGGTAAGAGAGGAGAGAGAACCCACGACAAGAAGAGGGATAAGGTTGAGATAGGCATTGTTGCCTGAGTTCTCAGCATGAATCCTAACGGAGCGCTTCATCATGGTGTTCTTTCCCATGAGAACCACCGTGTCGCCACGGAGGCCCTTGCGGATGTCCTGCAGCTGGTTGGATCCGACGTTGTCGGCGTTCACCACAAGGATCTGAGAATACTCGTCCAAGAGCTTGCACAGCTTCGCATCGTACGTGACCTTCTTCTCGGCCTTGGTAGGTTTGACCGCCATTGATGATGTCTGAGTCTGAGTCTACAAAATTCAGAGAGCAAAATCGAGGGCCAAGACGAACCAGTGGCTCAGTCAAGGCGGACAGCAAACGGTGCCGTCTCTTTAACCTCTTTCTGAAAGGTGAATGAAGGGAAAGAAATCAAATTCGCACCGGAGAAAAAACAGATGAATGTGCAATTTATACACTGGTGAAACGGAGCTTAAACTAGGGTTTTGATGAATCGGACGGCTCCCAGTGATTGGTGTAAAACTTATAATAGGCCCAATGGGCTTCATGTTTATTTTTTATTAGAATTATTGTTTCAGTAATTTGCTCCTTTTATTATTACCTTAAATGGAAACACTTCTTCGAAAAAACAAAAAACATTCATCTTTTTTCTCTGGAATAGATAGGTATCAAATTTTTAAAGTTTACGTTAAATTGTAACCGTTAATTTCTATTAATTAATGATTATAATTTAGTGGATCAAAATTTTTAATCAATTCATAACTTTTAATAAATTGTAATCGTTAATTAACGGAAATCAACGGTTAAAATTTAGTGTCAAATTACTCACATCAAAGTATCATGCCTTTTTGTAATAATTCTTTTATTGAAAAACAAAGCTGTCATTTAATTTCTTCTTTAAAAAATTTCAACGGTTATGACAAAAGCTCACGAAAATTATAAAAGGACATCCAATAGGGAATGGAGAAAAAAAGATGAATGTTGAGTTCATACGATGGTGCAGTTTATATACTTGTTTTTTTTTTAAAGAATGACATTTTCTTTTTCTTTTTTTTTAAATTTTTTTTTTTAATTTTCTTTCGATCTAGTTCAATATGAATTTTTTCATTTTAGTCATTTTTTTTATATGCTTTCCTAAATTTAAAAAAAAGTCATGTATTAAACATGAGAAGTTCGCTCGTTTCTATAATGGAGAAGGATATTGTGATAACCAAGTTGTGTTATTACCAAGTGACTACCAATAAGTCTTACCGTTAGATCGATTATATGGATCCAACGGTTATATTTATTTCCATCTTTGTGTGGTCGATATTGTGACTACCAAGTTGTGTTACTACCAAGTGACTACCAATAAATCTTACCGTTAGATCGATTATATTGATCCAACGATTATATTTATTTCCATCTTTGTATGGTCATGATTCTCCAAATTTAATACTTTATATTTATTTTCACCTTTGTATGGTTATTATTTCCCATATTTAATGCTTTCACTTTAAATATGGGGAATCATGACCATAAAAAGATGGAAATAAATATAACTGTTGGATCAACATAATCGATCTAACGGTGAGATTGATTGGTAGTCACTTGGTTTGGTAGTAACACAACTTGATTGTCACAATATCCTTCCCCTTCTATAATATATCATAAATTGAGGGGGGGAAATTAATTTAATATTTTTTAATAAATTAATTACGCATTTATTACAGTTTTGGAAATAATTACACATTTATTGCACAATTTGGGCGTCACTAAAGACGCCTAAATTGGCGTCACTCAAGAGGCAATCATGCCTAATTTAGACGCCTAAATTGGCGTCACTCAAGGGCCATAACTTTTGATTTGGGTATCAAAATTAGGTAATTCTTTTTTTGATTCCAGATAAATTTTCGAGATCTACGCAATGACATCTCATTTGATATATTTTATTTCTCACAAACATAATTTAAATTTAAATCAGGTAATCCTTCTTCCTTATAGATTTAGAATATTTATTTAATTATTTCCTTTATTAATACAGAATTTCTATAACACCCCAAAATTTCTAACAATTTGTATACATATTTTTGTAATAATATATTTGTCAAAATTCATATTTAATTATTATATTAGGATTTTATAAATAATGCGAAAGCTAATCTCAAACTAATTTAGGGAGATGTTACCAGTAACAGGGACAAGTGCAAGACCAACTTTATCATAATTTTATTCCAAAATATATTCAATGTAAATATTTAAAACTTTAAAATTGTAAATCCAGAATTTAAATATATCTCATACATTTATTAAATCCTAAACCTAGCTTGAAATGTCTGAGACGTTATCCTCACTGCTAGCTCCAACCTTTACAACTTGTTTCATTGAAAATCTGTTCTCCCGAATGATCATTGCATCACAATAATCAGCAAACAATGGTAATCTCAATCCTAAATATAATTCAAATATTCACATAATTATCAAGTCAAATATTAATTCCATCTTTCATCATATTTATCTTTATTTAAACATAATAATCAAATCAAATATTAATTTTATAATTCATCATATCTATCTTTATTTAGTTCACTAGTGGGAAGAGAATCATGGTGGACCCGAAAAACCCTGTTAGTCCACCCTGTGACCCATGAAACCTTGCCAGTCACATATAATCAAATTTGGTCATCATCAAAACATCTCTTTCTAGTGTGCACACCTCTTCCAAAGTTGTTATTAGTATCCCAGAAAATCCTGTCAGATACCATTTTAAGAAAAACGAATAACATCTTTTCACATCATTTAAATATCAAAGGCATACAACCCAAATATTATGTTCATCACTTTATGAGGTACTATCCCAAAAACTATCTTCCAATTAGTAATTAATTACAATCACACAAATTTCAAATTTAATCATAAATCACATATTTAGAAAGTTTCCTTAAAGAGTGTCAAAATTTTAAATTTAAGCATAAATCATATATTTGAAAAGTTTCCGTAATCATAATTTCCAAATTTATTCGCAAATAATCAATTTTTTCATCATTTAATCCAATGTAGTAAATTATTCATCGTCTCTATTTATTCCCAAAATAATAATTCTATTATTTTTCCAATAAAGTTTCCAAAAAAAATACTCTAAATATCACACGTAGTAATTTAAATTAAAAAAATTACCTATAATATCTTAAGGATCATTATATAAATTTTTTTATACAAAACTAACCTAAGATCATCATTTAATAAAAAATAAACAGTAAAAAGACATCAATTTAAATTGACGACAAAATCGAGTCGAGTATGTAATTGTGTTAAAAATTTGATAAGAATTATTTTTTATTCTTGTGATCTGCACAGCTCGATTATATTAGTTGATTCATTGATGAATACATAAAAAAATCTAAAAAAAGAATTGAATTGAATTCATAAATGACAAGAAGTAAAAAAAAAAAAAAAAAACATCTAGTACAAAAATCATAATGAAAACAAACTTGACGGAGAAAATAAAATTTTAGTTCTATTCGGTAACATTTGTTACCGAAAATAAGTGTAACATGTGTAGTTTTATTAAGCACACGGTAACACGCCACTCACGTTTTCTTCCTTGGGATCCATCGTGGAATCCTGTTGTTGTTCGCAAGTAACAACGTAGTTACGTGGTGCCGTCCCATAATTTATCAACTTTTTTGTCCCGGCGCGTCGGTCCAAGTTGCACAATCCATCTTTTCCTTTTCTTTTGAAACTGTTTTACCCGTTTTGGTCATTTGCCCTACCTAATCTTATGATATATATACATATTAAACATATATGTATCTATCTTTCTTTCTTATATTAATTTAATATCACACCTAGCTAGCTACCACCTTGGCTCCTTTCTCTTTTGATCTCAGAAAAATAAGAATAAGAGGAAGAAGAAGATGAACGTGGATCTGGAATCCTTAGCAGAGGCCACTTCTGGAGCCATAGGATCACTGCTCAGCACAACCATCCTCTACCCACTTGATACCTGCAAGACCAAGTATCAGGCCGAGGCTCGTTCCCATGGTAACCGAAAGTACAGGTATCTATGTCCTCACTTGTTTTTCATTTTCATCTTTTTTTTTCCCCTTTCTTTTCCCACTTTTGATCCCAACCCTTCATTCTGAAATTCACTTATTATTATTCATTCATCATTGATTTGCAATTTGTTCCTGTTTCTGTTCCTGGGCCCCCCCTCTTGTTAAGAACTGAAAACTGGTGGGATCGGTGATCAATTGGTCATGGTGGGAAAGGACTCTTAATCCCGTGATATAAAAATTGTCTCTTTTGAATTGGGTCTTTGTGTTATAGTTCTGTGTTGAGGACATGGTGATTTATTGGAAGCACTGTAGAGAAATAGAGATCTAATGGTCCCTGAAGATGGGTGTGTTTTAGATTTTAAACTTCAGAATGTACGAAAAGCACCAAGTTGAATCAAATTAAAGCATTTAACATTCATTTGAGAAAATTAGAATTGGAGGGACCAAATTGAGGAAAACTATGTCTTACAAGGACCAATTTAATGGTATTCATTTTGTGTTTCTTTAACTGAATTAAACATGGGAATGAAGTGTGATGCATTCAAATTTTACAAATGATAAAATTATTCCCAATGTGGTGTGCCAAATTGCATCCAAAGTATCATTCTGTAGTTATCAGAATTTGCTGGGCTGAATATGCAGGTTGATTGATCTTTAATCCTTGTTCATCGTGTAACAAATTAGACTTCAAATGTGGCTCTTGGGTATATATACTTAATTTCATTCTACTTGTTTTCACTTTTGTAGGAGTCTCTCTGATGTGTTGTGGGAGGCAATATCTACCCGTCAGGTGCTTTCACTTTACCAAGGCCTTGGAACAAAGAATCTTCAATCCTTCATTTCACAGTTTGTCTACTTCTATGGCTACAGCTACTTTAAAAGAATGTATCTGGAAAAAAGTGGTTATAAATCCATTGGTACAAGAGCAAACTTGGTAATTGCTGCTGCTGCTGGGGCTTGCACAGCCATTTTGACTCAGGTGAGGCAGCTTTAACTATTCCAAGTTTTAACAGTGCATTTAAAACCTTTCTTTTATGATGTTTGGAGCTGGACCCATTGCTACCAAATATTCATTATTTGGAATTGCTGTTCTGGACAGCACAAAGTTGTGATTCAAGTCTTTCATAGTTATGCTTTATGGTATGATGATATTTTTGGTGATTTATAGTTGGAATGTGGAGCTAAAAGGAGATGATCAAGTGCATCTCTGGAATAAAACATGTTCGATCATTTAATATATAAAAAACTGTTAAGCTCTTAATACTTAATCTACCGTGTTTTGGTCAATCATCTATGATGTTAAGGAAGGATCAGCTACTAAATCATTGGTGTCTATTATATGTTACTATCTATAAACATATCATATTCTGTTTGTCCTTGTTTGTTATGTTGTGTATGAGAAATAAGGTATCGTATAAACTTTGTAAGTTTAATTCAAGAGTATCTCATTGATGACTATGTAGCCCCTGGATACAGCCTCTTCAAGGATGCAGACAAGTGCCTTTGGAAAGTCTAAAGGGCTCTTGAAAACCCTTACTGAAGGCAACTGGAGTGATGCATTTGATGGCCTCAGCATTTCCTTGCTGCTTACCTCGAACCCTGCAATTCAGGTTGGTCTTGTATCAATTCATGTTTTTGTGCTTTTTGTTAAGTTACATTCTATTTAGAATACCTGATCTGAGATCAAAACAGCTTAATTTGGAACTACCATGTGCTACAGTATACGGTGTTTGATCAACTGAAACATAAAGTACTGAAGAATAAACAAGACAAAGCTGGTAAAGGAGTATCTCCGGCATCTCTTTCTGCATTTATGGCCTTTCTTTTAGGTGCAATTTCAAAGAGTATTGCTACCTGTCTAACATATCCCGCTATCAGGTTCATAATTGTTCCTTCCAACTTATTTTGACTTGTTAACTTGGTTTCTGGGACCCTTCTGAGATCTTTTTTTTTTTTTTTTGCATATAGATGCAAGGTCATCATTCAAGCTGCAGACTCAGATGATGCAACCTCCAAAACACGGATAAAATCACAGAAAACGGTGCCTGCAGTACTCTATGGAATATGGAAAAGGGAGGGCATACTGGGATTTTTTAAAGGATTGCATGCTCAGATCTTAAAAACTGTTTTGAGCTCAGCACTGCTCTTAATGATCAAGGAAAAGATCTCTGCTTCTACTTGGGTGCTTATACTTGCAGTTAGAAGGTATCTATTACTCCCAAGGGGTAGCATTAAAAACATGTAAGTTATAGTAGCAGTTATTGGAGGAAGAAGCTTCAATCTGTTGTGGATAGTGGATTTGGTTGGAGTTCAATGTGTGCATTTTAACGGATACACCCATTTCTTCAGAGCTGAGACGAGGTTGTTTTTGTGGCTTCATTGTCCTCTTCCCATGGTTTATTGATATAGAACAACTATTCCATGAATTTATGCAAAAGACTGATAGAGCAAAGCAAGGAAGAAAGTCTTAACAATAAAATGCATTTTTAGTTTTGGTTTGTTATATTTCTTGTTTTAAATAACGACCTTCATTACTTTTATTTGGAGTTGCTTCTTTTATATCTTGTGGAAGTCCCACAACAGAAGGGTGTCAGTTTAGGAGTAGCCTAGGAGCTTTATGAATAAGCACCCTCTTTTATGTATGTAGCCTCTTAATCATCGGATTGACAAAGTTTTTGTCATTTCCTAATTTTTTGGTGTGATTGATATTTTTGGGATCATATTAATTGTAAGATGAATTGTTTATTTAGATGACCCTAAATGCAATTGCTATATGAATGCTTTGATGACCTAATTGTAATTGCAATATGAATAATTTGAAATTGCAAGATGAATTGTTTATTTTTAATGTGAATTTGGAAGGATACATTTGAGCCTTGATGATCCCTCTCACTTATACAGAATCGCCCACAATAAAAATATCGAATCACCCATAATAAAATATCTCCACTTTTTATGTACACTCAGTATGAAAAAAGTACACGATAGGGTTGGTGTGGTGCAATAAAGTGCTTATTTCTCTGTAAAATATATTTTTATAAGAGTAAACACCTTTTTTGATCCCTGACAATATCAACGAAATCTTTTTTAGTCCCTGACAATAACAAAGGACCAAATTAGTCCCTAAAATTATGAAAAAAAGCCAAATTAGTCTTTCTGTCAACTCCTCCGTCACGGTCAAACTAACGGTGCCCATGTGGCACGTTAGTCTGCTGACGGGGACTGGACGATTGACACGTTGGAACTACAAACGACGACGTTTTCTTCAAAATGGGTTGCAATGTGTGTAATGGAGACGACGACGTCGTCTCCTCTTCTGATAATGAACCCTAATAATAAAAAAACCCCAAATTCCTTCAATCGAACCCTAAACCGGAAACTCCATCCCTTAAACAGCAATACACCCCAAAATGTCTGCACTTTGATGATTGAAACTCGACGACAGTAAAACCCATCAACCGGATTTCTGGGCGTGGGAGAAGATGAGTGTTTCTTCGGGCATAGGGGGATCAAGTGGGAGTAAATCAATGGGGAAAGAACAATGACAAGGACCGCCGGTTGGAGGTGCAAATGTAGGAGACAAAGTATTATCTATACCTCCAAAACTGAGAGGAACCCAAACAGGGCTTTCCTTAGCTGTCCTAATTTCAAGGTATGAATTTGTAACTGCCCCTTTATTGAGTTGGAACACTTGCTAACCGTGGTTTTTTTTTTGCAGGAGAAGAAGCCCTATTGTGATTTTTTTAGATGGGTAGATGACATGTTTAATGAACCCATGGAGCTGGAAGAAGCAAGAATTCACACTGTAGAGTTGGATGTTGCTGAAATTAACTTCAAGTTGAAATATGTGGAGATGATGATGAGAGAGCAAGATGTGAAGATTACTGAGCAAGGAATGAAGCTTCATCAGTAGGAAAGAAAACTGAATGATGTATACCTGAAGATGGTGGAGGAGTTAGATAGGATGGACAAAAAAATTAGGATAGTTGATAGGTCAGCTAGGGTCTTAGGTGCTTGTGTTGGTGTGATCATGATCTGTATGTTTGTTGTTAGTGTGGTAAAAGTGAAAACAAGTGACCCAAATGTATTTTTCCTTCAGTGAATTGTAATGAGTACTCCTTCTTTATGTTATACAAATTATGTGTTAGTGCCAACCTGTTTGTGTGTATTATTAAAAAAGCCTTGAAGTATAAAAGATTGCTACATTGTATCACAAACAGATATAGATTGCTACTGATATAGATGCATAACTCATGACATTGCTGATGCAGAAGTTGCATACTGTTATGCATATTTTGTTACTGATTGCAAAACACGAGGACCATTTAGGTCCCTGGCAATGCTACTCGAGGGTCGTTTTGGTCCCTGACAAAGTGCACGGGGCACTTATTGGTCCCTGATTCCAGAATTATAGGACATGAGTTCTTGATGTCCAAATCAACAAAATGCAGCACTCATTTTAACATCAGAAACATATGGTATCCCTGACTTATATGCTTTGCCATCAGAAATGCAGTATGTAGGGGTTCAAATTGGTCCCTCACAATGAGTGTCAGGGTCCTAATTGGTCCCTGCAACCAGAAAATTGGGCATGATCTATTTTGCCAGTAACACAGCACAAACATGCACCAGAATGCAAATATGGCAGCTAAATGACCAACAACAAGCTAACTCTCTTAGAAAACATAAGAACCAGAAAATGCACTTATGACATGCATCAACCCTGCCACATAATAGCTGCAACATTCATCAACCTGTGAACCAAAATAAATTACACTTAACATCCAAGAGTAAAGTCATATGGAATGACCAGTAACCAGAAAATATGGCCTTGCACAAACCTGCACAAACCAGTAACCAGAAAATATGGCAGCTACATGACCATGCCACATCTAATTGACCAACTCAGTTAAAAACATAAAATGAACATGAAATCATCACATTCATCAACCCTGCCACATAACATGCATATCCAGAATATAACCAGTTACACATAATTGTCTTCCTAGAACTAGAAACCAGTAGTGCATTACAAATAAAAGCCAACTAATAGGAATCATAAGTGAGGCCTATAAATACAATATGGCCATGCATCAAAAAAATTACATTATAACTGTATAAGGCCTCCAAAAACAAATGGCCAGAATTTACAAAAAAATCCCATTATATCCACTCCTTGTCAGTTGGCTCATGCATTACTCCCTTGTTCTTCTTCATCAGCAGATCATTTTGTGAGGATGGCCTTAGTGGCCTGAAACCAGGTGTAGTCATGAAGTGCAAAAATCTGCTTCGTGTTTCACTGCTTGCTGCCTTCATTGTCTCTTCAGTCAACACTGCATTTGCTTCTTCTGGAATTGAAGCAGGTGGGTTGCCTCCTCTCAAGTTGCCTTGATGTGGCTAAGAACTACCAACTGCTGAAGGGCCTCCTTGACTTAATGGGATTTCATCTACTGAGTCAGAGCCAATCCTCACAGATTGTGGTCTTGCTTGGCTTTTATATATTTTGGAAGCTGGTGGCCCCTTACAACTTTTGGCATAGTGTCCAGTCTGACAACATTTAGTACACTTGGCTGCATATGTCCTTTTGACTTTCTTTGTCATGCTCCCTTGGTCTTCAGTTGGGTCCTTCTTCCTGTGTTTCTTGGGACGCCCAATTAGCCTTTTAAGTTTTGGTGGAAGAGGTTTGGGTTCATCAGATGCATGCCAATACTTGTCCGAATTCACTGGGTTTAAGGTGTGTGTATATGTGGCATGCAATGCATCCACTGTAAGCCATTGATGGACATAGTTCTCGGCTGGTTCGTTTTTGTGACAAATGGCTGCTATAGCATGCTCACAAGGCAGTCCAGTCAACTGCCATGCATTGCATGCACATGTATGTGTTGTTAAATTCACTCCAACTCTATCACCTCTCCCACTGACCTCATACATATCTTGCTGCAGATTTCCAGTCCAAGTCGGTGTCCATGAATTACTAAGTACCTTTAACTGATCCAGTTTCTTTTGCTGAGCAGGAGCAATTTTACCCCGAACAGTTTCTAACACCATCTGATGTGCAGCCATCCTCCTCATAATGTAGCATCTCAATTCCTCTAATAGAGTGATAATTGGTTTTGACCTATACCCAACAATCTTGGCATTCCATACCTCTGCCATGTACAAATTTCCAGCCATCTTGTGTCATTAGCCTTTTTTCTAATTTTTTTGCAACTCAATCCCTACTTGCCCTCTTGTTTCTAAAAAGTCTGCAGCAAGTGTGGATGTCATTAAAAGTTTTGACTTGGAAAGCTGTCATCTTGTTGTTCCACGCACAGTAAATCATCCAATCACATTCATCATTACTACACTTTGCTCGGGCTCTGACTTTGTCATTCTTCAGCCACTTGAATTGTCTTCCTAGATCAATACTGTAGTCTTTGACAGCATTTTTAAATTCTTGAAGACTCACAAACTCCATCCCCAGCTCTAAGTGTACATGACCAAACTCCTCATGCACATTATACTTTGGATTGACAACCTTTTCATCCTCCTCAGCACCACTTAAAGGAGGCGTGTTCAACTCTTCAGAGTTATATCCATACCCACCCTCCTCGAAAGACATTGACTTATCGTCCTCTTCCATTGTATCTTCCCCTGCCACATCTTCAACCTCCTTTTTTTTCTTCTTGTTTTGCTTTTTTTGTCTAGCAGCTTTACCCTTCCCCTTGCACTCCTCTTCACTCTCTGTTTCTGTATCATACATAGGTGGAGGAGGTTTATATGGCTCATCCTCCGCACTATCATCTGAGTCAGTAGAAAACCCATCACCATCTCCACTATCATCCTCAATACCACCTCCACTATGATCCTCATCCTCATCACTGCCTTCCACGGGTACAGGTGCAATAATATCAGGGATGGAAATGCAATGATCAAAATATATTTCTATGAAGTTCCCATTACTTAATGCAGCCTTTACCATCTCCACAATATCATAGTCCGTACTCAGAGGCCTTAAACCACTGTCTAAATCCATTGCGTTTGGCATGAGCCACAACATCTGATCACATTTCTCATACCCATAACCTTTGAACAGAGTATCAAGGTCACGCAAGTTGACAAAGTCAACATCCATCTCAGGTAAGTCATCCACTTTGCCATTTGCATAAGTTAGGACCCTTTTATCATCTCTGATTAACACACCCCCATGATGATACCTTATCACTATATATTCATCCATCTGAAAAAAAAAACATACACATGACAGTTACTTCACAACTTCCACAAACCAATCATATTTTAACAACAATTCTAGCCATTTGCATATATAAATCAACACGGGAATGTTAACACACAGGGCTGTAAATTGCAACAAAAAAATTCACATTTACAATAAATTCACATTTACAATAAATTAATGCTAACATCAGGTCCACAAAGCAATTTAAAAATGCCAATAACCCTATACATCAGACTCAACACTGCCGTGTAACCATACAAGCCAGTAACTTGCAAAAAAATTTCACCTTTACAAATTATGCATGCACTAAAAAATTGGGGACCACAAAGCACTAAAAAATGGCAATAAACTATACAAACCGGGACCACATACATAAATGGGTCTTTTTTTTTGTAAACCCTAACCATAATAACACACAATGGAGCGCACATAGGGGACCATCATCCAACAAAGAATAGACAACATGTAGTGAGGGGGGACCACAAATATTGAAGAATTTCTAAAAAAACACTTACCTTAATGCATGTAAGGAAACTGCCACACTCGCACTTCCCTTAACCACCAAAGAACAAGACTTTCGACAACCTTCAATGTCCACGCTCGATTGTCTTACCTGCAACCACCGTCTTCGCCAACCCTCACCGTTCAACGAAGCTTCCAGTGGAGGTCAACAATGGTGTTCCAATAATATGCAAAAACTTAGTGAAATAAGAACGACTCTCCACGGTAACTTCCAGTGTTGGTGCCTCTTGTTTTCTCAAACATAAAACGACATCGTGAAGAAAATTGGAAAGCTATGTACCTATTTGCTTGAAAACGTCGTCGTTTGTAGTTCCAACGTGTCAACCGTCCAGTCCCCGTCAGCAGACTAACGTGCCACATGGGCAACGTTAGTTTGACCGTGACAGAGAAGTTGATAGAAGGACTAACGTGACCCTTTTTTCATAATTTTAGGGACCAATTTAGTCCTTTTTTATTGCCAGAGACTAAAAAGAATTTCGTAGATATTGCCAGGGACCAAAAATAGTGTTTACTCTTTTTATAAAAACTCTTATTATAAAAAATTTAAAAAGATTTTTTTTATTCCAAGAGGAGTTTTCTTTTACGATGTATATAAGTTTTTTTTTGACTTCTCATATTTATTTTGTAGTTTTAATCTTATTCTAAACTTGTATTTATAAATTTTATCATTTATCTTAATAATTTATTCTAATAATAAATTATTTTATTTTTTCTCTTTCGAAATCATAGTAACAATTTTACATAATGATCAAATTACTTTTAACTTTTTTTTTATCTTTAGTTTAAAATTAACTTTTAACCTTAAAAAGAGGTGTCAAGAAAAGTGGCTGTTGTAATGCTTCTGCAAGGTATAAATAAACAAATTAGGTATAAAAAAAATGGGTTCGCTTTTTCTAGTCAATGTCGATAACTTATCTATGTTGAACATAAAACGACGTCGTTCTGAGACAGAAATCAAAGTATTTTTATAATTATAATTTATTTCAGAGTTATAATAATTTTTTTCATTATAATTTTTTTTCAATTCAAAACGATGTCATTTTAGCATTTAGAAACATTAAAGCCAACAAAAAAACAAATTAGAGAATGAAATGAAAACCTACCAACACCAGGAAGGACGGCATGGGCTTGGAACCAACAATTTGATTATGAATTTTGGCAATCGTATCTTATTTGAGTTATTGGTAGGGCTGTGCATGGGTCAGGTCGGGTCAGGTTTTTGTCCGACTCGACCCAACTTGATTTTTATAGGTCAGGTAGTTTGACCCGACCCGCTTTAATTTGATCCAAGTCAGGTCTGACTTGGATTGGATTTTGTTGAACTAGTTTGGATCTGACCTGACTTGGTTTCTGGAGTGGGTCTGACTTGGTTTCTGAACTGGGTCAAATCTGACCTGACCTGTTTTTGACTTGGTTTTCTCACAAAGTTTTGTCGAAATTTTTACGTTGCAAAAGACGAAAATTTCGTCAGAAAATTATTTTTTCGTCGAAATTTTTACAAAAATTTTTTTCTATTGAAATTTAGTTTCCGTCAACAGTTTTGACGAAAATGATTTCTTCCATCAAATATTTTAGACGAAAAAAGAATTTTGTCAAAAAATTTGACGGAATGTTTTTCGTTCAAAATTTCGATGGGAATGTGTTCTGACGAAAATTTTGACGGAAATTATTTCGAGGGAAATGTTTCATTTGAAACTTTCGACCAAATTTAGATTCTCTAAAGAATTTTGACAGAATATTTTTTTTCGTCAAAATGTTTTTTTGTCAAAAAAACTTTACGAGAATTTTTTATAGAAATGTGTTTCGTTGAAAATTTTGATGGAAATTTTTTATCAAAAAACTTGACGAAAATATTTAGTTGAAAATTTTCGACGGAGATGTGTTTCGCTAAAAATTTTTACGAAAATTTTTGTGTCAAAAAATTTAACGAAAATTTTTTCGTCGAAAACTTTCGCCGAAATTTGAAATCTGTAAAGAATTTTGATGAAATTTTTTGCCGTCAAAATTTTTTGATGATGAAAATGTTTCCGTCGAAAACTTTCGCCAAAATTTGAAATCTGTAAAGAATTTTGATGAAATTTTTTGCCGTCAAAATTTTTTGATGACGAAAATATTTCTGTCGAAAACTTTCGCCGAAATTTGAAATCTGTAAAGAATTTTAATGAAATTTTTTGCCGTTGATATTTTTTGCCGTCAAAATTTTTTGATGACGAAAATGTTTCCGTCAAAAACTTTCGCCAAAATTTGAAATCTGTAAAGAATTTTGATGAAATTTTTTGCCGTCGAAATTTTTTGATGATGAAAATATTTTCGTCGAAAACTTTCGCCAAAATTTGAAATCTGTAAAGAATTTTAATGAAATTTTTTGCCGTCGAAATTTTTGGATGGAAATGTGTTTTGTCGAAATTTTCAATGGAAATTGTTTTGAGGAAAATGTTTCATTTGAAACTTTCGATGAAATTTAGATTTTCTAAAGAATTTAGACAAAATATTTTTTTTGTCAAAATTTCTTATCGAAATATTTTTGTCAAAAAATTTTACGAATTTTTTTACAGAAATGTGTTCCGTTAAAAATTTTGATGGATATATTCTTTATCAAAAAATTTGACGAAAATATTTAGTCGAAATTTTTTGATAGAAATGTGTTTCGCTAAAAATTTCGACGAAATTTTTTTTTGTCAAAAAGTTTAACGAAAATGTTTTTGTCGAAAACTTTCGCCGAAATTTGAAATCTATAAAGTATTTTGATGAAATTTTTTTCCGTCAAAGAATTTCGATGAAAATGTGTTTTGTCGAAATTTTTTATGAATATATATTTTTGTGAAATATTTTGACGAAATTTAGATTCCGTAAAAAAATTTGACAAAAAAAATATTCTCTCAAATTTTTTTACTGATATGTTTTTAGTCACAAATTTTGAAGAAAATATTTTTCGTCAAAAATTTTTGCGAAAAATTTTATGAAAATATTTTGCATAAAAAATTTTGACGTAATTGTTTTACGTTAAAACTTTTCTTTTAATGTAATTTTGATTTTCTTTTTCACGTAATGGGTATGGGTCAAGTTTTGGGTCAGTGGGTCAATATTAAAACGAGTCAGGTCTAAAACTGACCCAAATAAAAGTGGGTCAGTATTTAAACCAGTTCAAAAAATATGGATATTTATAGGTCGGGTCAAGGTCGGATCAAGGGCAGGACAAGTGAACCAGTTTTTTTGCACACCCCTAATTATTGGATGCGGGTGCCAACCTCACAACACCAATTTTTTAAACCATAAACCACACAACACCATTTTTATGATACGAATGCAAATTCCAGGTTTCCCTTCCATATTGCTCCTTTCTCCAATCCAAGTTCAAGGAAAAGGTTAGTGCTACCAATAATGGAGGTAATATATTTTATTCTCTTCCATCAGTTAGTCAACTATAACATAATTACTTTCTCACAGTTCCTAATTTTTTTTATATATTGAACTGCATTTAATGTGATCGATTGCTCGCACTTCTCTATTTTTCATTTTTTAAAATAGCAACATTTCCCCCCTTATAAAATCAATAATTTTTAAATCTTTTTTATTCTTTGTTCTTGGTTGCGGATCTTTTAGATAATGAGAGGTTGAAAAAGTACGCTCATTTTCATTTTGATGGTTTATTTATTGGAGTTTGCTTTGTCATATAACAAGAATACAACAAATTTTCTACACACATAATATTTTGTCGGATCTACACTTTTTGAAGAAAAAAGAAAAAAAGAAAATCACGGCACGCAAAGCGAATCTTTATAACATTACACAATCACTTCTCCTACAATATAACTATTATAAAACCCTTATTTGTTTTCAAAATTGAAGTAGTCTACCTATTTTTTTTTTCTATTTTTACCTATTATTTTTCAACATCATTAGATCAAAATTTCAAGAAGAGAGAAAAATAAATATTAGTTAAAATTATAATTTAATGATGTTTTAGAGTAGTAGATAAAGATATACAGAAAAAAAGATAAATAAAATAACCTATCTCTACAAATATAATATAATATTTTTATCAACATAATCAAACTTATCAATTCTTTTTCAAATGCATATATTACTATAGAATAATATTAAAGATTCTTGCTATTATTATAAGGGGTTAGGATATTGTAACAACTCATTAGATTGATTATGTTGATCCAACGGTTATATTTATTTCACCTTTTTATGATCATGATTTCCTATACTTTATATTTATTTTTACTTTTAATATTATAAAAATAAATATAATCGTTCCATGTTAGATTTCATTCCAAGATGATTTGGTAAAACAAATAAATTAAAAATTAAAAATGGAAAAAAGAAGAAGAGAAGAAAGCTTATATTTGAAGCAGTGTGGTGCCTCCAACTACAAGCTAGTAGTGACAGAACAAACTAGAGCTTTCTCCTTCACTGGTTACTCTCACGCACTTTAATTCCTCCCAGGTATTGTTAAGCCGATGTAGGATATCTTTTTTTAACCGAACTACGTTTTTTAAGTATAGCTTCGAAATTCGCAAACTTTTGAATGAAGGGTAGCCTAGACGATACGCTTGTGCTTAATTTTGCTGTATTCGTATTGGGTTGACAAGGATCTAGAAAAAGCATAGATTTTTGGGTTCTGTTTTCTTGGGGCATATGAATTGCTAACATGGGTGGTGATTTTGCACTTTTGATGTGAGCTAGGGTGGTGGTGCTGTGACCTGTTCTTTTAAATGCCAGAAGATATCGTTTATGAGCACCCTTTGTTTGGGGGCAAAATATCAAGCACTTTCCCCAACAGGTTCCAGGTCATTGATCATTTTTTTTTTCTTTTCATTTTTGATGTTCTTTGCATAAACCATTGGAAGACAGTGTAACTTTAGTTTTGCTGAAATTAAGGTTCTGGTTATCTCTTGTAGGATGTCAGCAACATTCGAGAAGTCCCTGATCATCAGGTTTGTCATGCTTTCTCTTTGACTATGTTACATGAACTATTTAATCCTTTTGCTAAACTTATTTTTGGTATAGGAGGTGTTCGCGGACCCGAGCCGTGATGAAAGCTTGATCTTTGAGCTTTTAGAATTTAAGCCTGATATTCCTGATAATGGAAGTGCTGCATGGTTTCTTCAAGACCTTGCTAGTGAGCAGGATGCTGAAGGAAGTGTGGTATGTCGTCATTTCATTTTAGTTTCTTAAGTTGCTGGACTAATGAAGTGTGCCATTGTAATTGGTACATAGAAGCTGGATTCTGTTGTTTTCATTCTTGCTTCGGCAAAGAATACTCACTGAATGTGTGGTTGGTATTAAGAGTAGGCGTGTATTTTGAATGTTTGATTGTTTTGCCATACTTTTGGGTCCATTTTTTTTTAAGTGCTTAGGTGGTTTGGTTGGTTTAGTTCCGTTAAGTGTGCTATAATTTCTGTTCTATTTAATTTATCAATGTTTCCTAGTATAAGTTTGTTTGGTGATGGTAGTAGTCATATCACATATGGCTTAATTTAAATGTTTAACTTGGGCTGTAAAATATCGTCTATCGTTGCCAGATGTGAATGTTTTTCTCTGTGTATTAGGAGATTTAGCTGTGATTGATGATTGTTAGACTCCATTTCCCCTTTCAGAATACTATGCCATTGCATGTGATATTTCTTCCTTTTAATGCCTAAGTGATTTGATTCAATCGAGTTATAACACTACTTCAATTGCTGTGTGTGTGTTATCTCCCGTCACACACAGGAGAGGGATTTCTATAAGAGAGGATATCTTTCCTTTGGCTCAGTTCATTTGATGTCTTACTTGTTGCAGAAGTTTATTGTGTCTCATGATCATCTCTTCTCTTTAAATTACTTCAGGTCATTGAGCAGTCAGGAGTTCTTGAAGCACCTGGTTTGATGTACAGAAATACACCTGCTGTTGTAACAACTGCAGTAGGCCAAATGGTAAAGTTTCTATAATTGTTTTGACTTAGAATTTGTGTTACTACATCATTTCCGGGTTACTAAATGAGTCACATCAGAATTAATGTTCATACATTGTTATTATACTTCTCTGGATTGCAATCCACTTCCGTGCCTTGTTATTTACAATATTCAGCATTCACAAAGAGTGAGGACACGCAAATACAATTTATTAGGGAAAAATCTAATTGACTCACTTAATTAGCTGCTTATCTATTATTTTTTACCCTTGATCTTGATATTATTTTATGACATATTTATTACATAATTATCTGAGCAGATGTAACCTCTTTCTTTTCCTCGTTTAATTTTAATTGTATCTGCCATTTTAATTTTGGCAATTTTTATGGCCATCCATTCCTCCATACTGGGAAATTGATATCTAACCACCTAAAATTTTTCAATGACTATGAGCATATTTCCCTGCCTATTATTCGGAGGCAGTCTGAGATGTCATGAATTTTGCCTGTAGTTATGCTAAGAGGACCAGTTCACAGCTAAAGCATAGTTTTTAGCCTGTTCTACAACTTGCCTTAGATATTCACATTTGATCACCTTATTGTTTGCATATTGCTGGTAAAATTCCCAATCAATGCTGGTAATTCATTGGATTTATGAATCCTGCTTGTATTGTAGGGAACAATAATTGCCATTTGGTTGGTCTATGTCTATTATTTTTTCAATCTGAGATTATCAGATGAGACGTTGGGTTTCATCTATGCAATGTGTTCAGTTTATTCTGTGGCCCTCTTGAATGAGACGTGAAATATTTCTCCATGGTTACGAAGTAATTGGTCCAAACATCAGATCTGTATCAGCTAAATAGTGGTAGCAAGACTGAGAAATCTGTTGGTGAAATAATGTTATTTTTGCCTAACTGTCCCACTGTTTCTTTATATTATTTCAGTTAATTTTTTAGAGGTTGCATTTATGCCTTCTATTGTGTTAGTAGTGCCGTGATTCTCTGAGCCTTTTTTAATGCTTCCTTTATATATATATATATATATATATATATATATGTATGTATGTATATTAGAGACTAATATTACAAAGAAGCCTACTTTTAATGAATCTGTTCTTTGCCCTGGAGTTGTTCCTTAAGTTCTCCTAATTTTTCAGTCTTGAATCGTGAACATAAAATAAAAACTCTTGAAGGAGAAGGAAACTGTGTCATTTTATATTAATTTCCTTTACAATTGTCATTTAGATTTATCAAGATTTTCTGCCAGATGTTCTTCTTAAAGCTGCACAAATAGGAAAACATATTTGATTTCACTTCTATTATAGGTCTGTTGATTTCAATGATGGATTTCTTGTACTAGTTAACTACAATATTCTATGGCTGTTTGCATTTCAGATGTTAATCTTAACTCATAGGATAAGAATATGATATATATTTCTTGACTTGTTAATCAGTAGCTATCCTTTTGTTTTCTTTCTTAAGAGAACATTGACATCTCTTTCATATGGCCCTTTTATAAAGGTGTTCTTGATATATTATGTGTATGTGTGACGTTCTGCAAGACATTTTCATGCCCTTGCACTCATTTTTACCCCATTCTGTTATCTATAATTATTGCTAGGCAATTTCCAAGGGACGGCAAGGAAGGGAAGCACAAAATATTGTGAAAGTAAGTTCTGTTTTGCTTGGCATGTTGTAAATTTCCGCAAATGCTAATTTGACACTCTTCCAACATTGACTGGTCTTTGGATCGTTTCCAAAATCAATTCATCTCTTCAGGTTTATTTGGCAAATTTGCGTCTTAAAGGAGTTGATACTGATGTACTAGTCACTGCATATGAGCCCATTGTTATAAAGTAAGTTTTTGGAATATCTTGTTCATGACAATCTCTTCAGAAAATTGTCTTGCAATTGGGTTCTATTTCAACTTTTGACTGATTGGGTGAGTTGAATTGAATTTTAGATGGGTGTTCAGGCTTTTTTTCTTTCCTGTATATATGTTAAACTGTGATTGATCATTTTAAATATACCAATGTTATAACTAAGCAGGTCAGGTGTCGAATCAGAAAAATAAATGAAATAATATCTGCATTTTTATATTGCACTGACTTTGTGGAAGCTATAAGTGTGCAAAAAATTTAATTACATTTTATGTTTTCAGCCCTTTGAGCGAAAGTGCAGACACAGTTGGTGCTGGTGTAGCTGTTCCTGCTGCACAAGCTGGATGTATGTCCATGGATGAGGTCATTAAACTTACTGTTACAAGCTTCAAGGTTAATGACTGGGGTCTTTTTGATGCAAGACCCTAGGTGTGCTAGGAGCAACTTTATGCTCAGCTATGTGGAATCAGGACTTAAACATAATTATTTGAGTGAAAATTTGAAAAGAGGTGCTATTCCCATTTTGATCACTGTATATTCTTCACAGGTTCTCTCTTTGGGCCAGAATTCCTTTTTTTTTTTTTTTTTTTTAGGCATTTGGTCATATTTCATCCAGTTATTAGCTTGTAGGACTGTCAACTAGTAACTGGAGAGAATAATATGTTGTTAAGAAATGTCAGTGACTTTTTTCTTTTTGGAGGTGCTGGATTACAGTTTGTAATAGTTCACATTTCTTTATATGTTGCTTTATGTGCCCTACAATTTGGGACAGAAAGAACGTGCTTCTTGGAAGCACTCTGACTGCAGCATAAAGGACTAAAGCCACCTGGTTGTACCGTGGTAGGGTTTATGTATTATTGAGTTTTGGCCAGAAAAGTAGTTATACACAAAATGATGAAATACCTGAAGAGAAATTTAGGTAGGCTCCATTGACGTGTAAAGTTAAGTCATGTTAGAATTGAATACATATGTAAGAAATGTTTTTTATAAATGTTAATGATAAATTTGAGTATTTATTGTAAGTAATGTTAACTTAGGAATTTTACAAATTTTACGTCATTGAAATTATATAGATAGGAAGATCCTTGTTCTTTATTTTACTGGAAGCGACCACACAGCCTTTCAAATCCAAACCAAGTATGAAATCTGAATAATTGGTACATATTTATGCTACTTTCAGGTTCAAATACTGTTTACACCATCTTTTGGCGTCATTTTTCCACTTGGTAGTACAAGCATTGTCTCTTGAAGAATGTTGCCATTTGTCAATCATGTTCAGTGTAATGGATAGCTCCCTAGATGGCGCATCTTTTTTCTCACAAAATACGCAAGAACTATATATATATTGGACAAGCTTGCATCAATCTAGCAAAGATACTTGCCCCCTTTGAAAGGTACATATAAAACTATGGGTTGAAAACTCTCCAAGAAGGCAAGGCAAAAAGACCCTAAACCTGAAAAGCCCAATTAGAACCCAGGATCTTAATTTCCTTCCATCGAATTCCGTGCAAATTCCATCTTTACTGGGAATAAATTTTTAGTTCTCTTGGCGTACATATTACATTTATTTTAAGCATAACACATAAATTTACATAGTATTAAAACAAAGAAATAGCCAAAAAAATTTGGATGCAAATACAATTATATGAGTCAGTATGTAATTTAAGTGGGTATAATAGATAATCAAAATTTTGAGTTTAATATCTCTCATATTATAAGAAATAAAATTATCTTCTATATATATATATATATATAAAAGTATTTGAGACTTATAATTTTTTTCTTCTTTTCTTCGTATGACCTTCTATAAATCTCATCCATGTTTATATATATATATATATGTAAAATTCGAATATCAAATTGTAAAATCTTATGCTTTGTTAGGCATACACAGAGAGTCGGTGTCCATTTCATATATAGACAAAACTTACCCTGTAGTGAGGTTTAATTAAGGACTGTGTCAACTGTTTAATGATGCAACTAGCAAGTGACCATTCCATTGGAGGTGGCACTCTTAGGACCCCAAAAAGTTACTACTATGATATTGTGATGAGTCAATCACGTGTCATGCAACTAGTTTGAAAATAATGCAGTTAATGGGTCCACCCAATAAAATAGCCGATATGGCAGTCTTCTTATGCCAGATGGTTTCACACATTGTGAATGCAGAAAACAAAACTGCTGGAAATTATTGGTGAGCAATCAACGTCAAATCATTGTCAAATCTCTTATGATCAACTACTGCCACCACTGCATAGGTTGAACCACACTGTTATTGAAGAAAACCAATATTAAAATTTCCCCTGAAATTCCATTTGATGAACTTTAAGAAAGTTTATGGTACTCCTCTTTTTCGTCAATTTTACAATGCTTTCCACCAGAACATTTGACAGAAAATTTATTTATTTTTAAACATATTCTAACATAAGATTTTGTAAATTACAATATAGTGGGAATTATTATCTTTTCTCATCGATTGAAGTGCTGCCATTCATCAGCATTAACCATTAACCATTAAGAAACATCTTTCTCATAAGCAATAAGCAATGAGTTTTGAATTTGATAATTATACAATAAGATCATTTTCGCACGCAAGGACAAAAATGCTTTATGTTCATTGACATTAATCAAAAGAAAAAGAAAGCTAGAGAGAAGACTGTGCCGACAATGACGACCGTGGCGTCAATAGCGCCCTATACTTTTGTATTTATACAATTATACTTCAAATATTCCAACAATTTCTTTACATTAATTTTGCTCTAAAAAAAAAATTCAAATGACAAGAGGACTTGTAGAGCACAGTTTTTTCTTTTCCTTAAAAAATAAAATAAAATCTCTCATTACTCTCACCTTGTTGTTCTCTATAAAATTTAACCAAATAAATAAATCTCGAAGTTGAGATATTCAGTCCAAAACCATTGGCATGCTACTTCAAAGAAAATCTATAGAACACGATTGTTAAGAAAAAAAAGGACGAGAAAGATCTATATTAAACATTATTCATTTGTAGAAAAATTGTAAATGTGGTCGTTAAAATAAGAATAACGTTACGTGCACACATTTTCACATCATTAATCAAGTATTCAACTTATTTAACTAGTAATCTGTTTATAACTAACCAAGAAATTTGTGGTAAAAATTGTGATTAGTTAGGTAGTTAATTATAAGAAGACAACTGATTAAATAAGTTTAGTAGTTGGATAATTAAATTGAAGTGGCATGCATAAAAGGATGTGTATGTAGTACCATTCTTAATATATTTATGATAATAAATTCAAGGTTAAGAGCTTAAAACATGTACCAAAGTTTTATCTGTTAATTTATTTTGACTGTTTGTTTTTTTTTTTTTTAAAAAGACCCAAGCTTTGTCATGTATTATGAACATGAAATTCAATCTATGGTCTTAAACGGGACAATGACCATATTGCCACTTTTTAGGCAAAATTTTACCTGATTGCCACTTCTGAAAAAAAATTTGCCAAAATGCCACGCCTGAATCCCGCTGGTCTGACAAGCGGGAATGGACTGGACACGTGTCAGCGTCTGAATGGTGAACCATTCTCGCTGGGCTGCCCAGCTAGAATGACAGAATGCTGACACGTGGCAAAAGCACAGGCATTCTCTGGATGTCTGTTCTTTTGCCACGTGTCAGTGTTCTGTCATTCTAGCTGGGCAGCCCAGCGAGAATGGTTCACCATTCAGACACTGACACGTGTCCAGTCCATTCCCGCTTGTCAGACCAGCGGGATTCAGGCGTGGCATTTTGACAAATTTTTTTTCAGAAGTGACAATCAAGTAAATTTTTATTAAAGGAGTGACAATATAGTCAATGTCCCGGTCTTAAACCATTCCATACGCACAAGAGAAGAGTAACCAGTTGAAGCAGAAGTAGAAAATGTCCAGATACAGGCCAAATCCAGCACATACTTATCTTTTATTTTTGTAGGGACCACATGTCTTTATATTATACATAATTTGATCCCACTAGTTTTTTATTTTATTTTTTTATTTTAAAGCATTACCTAACTCCAAATTTCAGTTTATTTGAACTGCTCATGAGACTAACTCCTATTCGATTGTAGGAGCATGCAGGGTTATGTACATAAGAGCTACTTTCCTAAAATTAATGTGTACTTATGTTCTCGTCCCAACTGATGGAAACTACTTATCACCTCAATCCATTCTTTAATCTTATTCTTGAACATAAAACTCAAGTGGAAGTGGGAAGTCTCATGGTGAGAAATGAATCGAGTATTATATAAATGTAAAAGACCATTATTGTATTAAAATTTTAAGTTGAGATATAGTGTCAAATTACTTATTGTGATATATCTCTATCTCATATGGAGGAGATATCTCTTACAAGGATATTGGACTCCTCCGTACCACTTAACACCTATTAATAACTAGTTTTCTTTATAATAGTTTATTTATATTTTTAAAATATACACAATAACTTAATCTAAACAAATACTTAATAGTTACATGTGCCTTATGACTTTATCCAAACAGGACTTGATTTTAATTTATTTATTCCATAGAAGATGCCAAAGCAAGGAAGCACGGATACTTGTAAAAACAGGGAGAGTCGTCCGACACGTGGTCAACTTTTTCTGATACGTTGACCATTCCGACACGCGAATTTGACTGTGTCCGAAACGGTCAAATGACATTTTCGTAATTTTTTTTTAAATTTTTTTTAATTTTTTTTTTTAAAATTTTTGTTTAAAAAAATATTAATAAAACTTCCACTTGATCATATCAATTTTATTTTTTTGTCTTTTTTTTCCTTAAGTAGATAAGAGAACATCTCAGCATCATTGTTGTCAATTCCTATTACGCTCTTGTTGTATCTCCTTTTCTTTGATCTCTCTAATATGATTTGATCTCTCTATCTGATATTATATCTCTCTCATCCCAGTTCTTATTTTTTTATTAAAGCTTCTATCTTTATAACGTGTTGATGAGTATTATTAATTTAGTTTCATTTTTTTGTTAAATTATTAAATATTAAATAAAATATACACTATATAAATTAAAAAAATTATTTAATATTAAAACGTGTCCCAACGTGTCAAAATTCATAATTTTTTAGAATTGACGTGTCGGAGTGTCATGTCGTGTCGTGTCACGTGTCGCGCGTCGTATCGGTGCTACATAGGTTAAAAGCATAGTAAAATGAATAATCTCGCAATTACTATTATAGTGTGAAACTTTCTTATTAACCGATAGTAGTAAAACTTTTACAATTATATACAAAATAAATAAAGTTTTTTAGTTATCAAATAAGATATATATATATATATATATATATATATATATATATATATATATTAATGTCTTTTTTTGCATTAATCAATACTAAGTTTTGCCCAATCAAATACCAAGTCAAATTCAAATTTATTAAGAGGAATGTAGATTAATTTACTTTTGGATTTGTAAACCAAAACACTCTTTCCTTTATGGTTTTTCTTTTTCCTTCTCTTTTATAATACTTTAGGAGGTGTTTTAGTTCTTTCTTTTGAGTAATTTTCTACTGGAGGGCTGTCACTCCTCACCTAATTTTAGCGGCAGCCATGTATTGTTTCTTAATTTCTTTACAAGATTTTGTTAACTCTTTTTTATCTGTTATCTGTTATCTTTTTCTTTTTTGTAAACTTTTTATCTGTTATCTTTTGTATATAGAGAATTTGATTACAAGTTTCTAAAGTCTGCCTCCCCTTATCGTAGATCTTATAGTAATACTTTTAAACAACAGTATTTTATGTATCCGTCTAGTGAAACGATTATATATTGTGATCGATAATCTATATATACTAGGATGAGTTAGCTTTAGGTGAAGTTTGTACCTATTATCTCCTGTATATACATTTTTTTCTCATCAAAATTGTAAGTATCATTGGGTTATCGTTTGAATGAATTTCATCTTATGATTAACAAAATCATTTTTTGGAT